AGTCCTGACCTGACCGGGACTGACCTCTACCACGTAGTGCAAGACAGCGCAGCAGAATGCTAGAATACCAATGACTAGCCCAATCAATGTTGCAAAGCAGACCAAACATACATCATGCTCATCACAAGTTGTGAAGGGGCCTGGCGCTAAAAACAGGAAGGAGGCGCCAGGTCCAGACATACGCAGCCGAAGAGGAGGGGATCAGACGAAGAAGAGGAAGGGGGAGATGGGAAAGTCGTCAACACCAAGTCTCGTTACAAGTCCCAAATAATCCCTCTTCAAAATGCCTGAAGTCCAATGTCGAGTCTGGATCCAAATGTCACCAAGCTCTCTCTCTCTCTCTCGTAGTCTGCTGATGCAGTGAAGTCAGATAGCGAGAGGGTGAGAAGGAGATGGTGGACTGAGAAGAGGAAAAAAAAGAACTTTCTCATGTGCCACGTACTAACCTGTGAAGATGGCGTTGTGCTGCAGGTACCTCGAAGACGAGCTGGAGCAATGGCGTTGCAGGTTTTTTTCTTCAACATTCTAGGTTCTCATTTCTAATTGCTTCTTAATTTATTCTACTGATTCTATAATAATAATCTTTGTTAGTTGTTGTAGGGGGGAGCGTTTTCTGGCGGATGAAGTTTTTGAGTCTCGTCAGGCCTGGGGAAGTGGCATGACGATTGTTCTTCATCCCTTTGCCTTCCCCGGCGAGTAATGTGGGAAATTTTGTAGTGACGGGAGGTCGGCTTCGACTCTTCGTTCGGTGTATATCTTTATTACGTGGATGTTTGGGGGGGTAAGAAGGGGGTTACTATTCGCCACTTCCTAGAGGAAGAGGCTTGCAACACGTCAGGCGATGCCCCTGATTAAGAATCATTCACAACACAACCTGTCATCCAATAAGATTGAGAAAGTACGGAGACAGGTGTGAGCGTGTATAATCTTGGTTGGCGGCTGCGACTCTTTGTTCAGTGTATATCTTTATTACGTAGATGTTTGGGGGGGTAAGAAGGGGGTTACTATTCGCCACTTCCTAGAGGAAGAGGCTTGCAACACGTCAAGCAATGCCCCTGATTAAGAATCATTCACAACACAGTCTGTCATCCAATAAGATTGAGAAAGTACGGAGACAGGTGTGAGCGTGCATAATCTTGGTTGGCGGTAGGCTGAAATCAATGGCTTTGGCAACGCGTCTCATCAAGTCAAACTAAGGCAGCCGACTACCTTGTCAGCTGCATTTATATTATCGTCAATAGCCAACTTCTTGTTGGCGGTTGCATGATTGTTTTGTGGTGTTTGACCTGAGATGGTCAACGGTTGATTCTTTATGATGTAAGTATATGCAAATGTTTTAGTTTATTTCTTTTGACGATTTGTCTAAGGGACTAGGATCAAGTAAAGGGTTTCACGCTTGGTTGAGACCATCCTAGTCGACCGATGTTTGCACCGTACCTAGGAGATCAGCGCCCTAGAGACGGACGACGCTCGGGTCCACTTGGCGTTAACCAAGCGTATCTATACTACAGCGAACGAGCAAACGCCCTCGGCTGACCTACCTCTGCAATTGCATCTAAAAGCTTTCGCACGTGGGTCAGTAGCTCGGTAGGGATACACCCCTAAGGGTGGTGACAGCCCCTTAGGGAAGGATAGTTTATGCCCCGCGGGAACCTATCCTGTTGTTGGGGACCGCGGGATGTACAAATGGTGCACCCGGCCAGAGAGGCAAAGGGGCGACGCGACCGCGGCCGTCTCGGCGGCTCACGGGATTAGTTAGGCGTCGTTCCCGAGTTGTCTCATGATTTTGGTTTTGTTTATCTCCTGCATAACATGGCCGGGAGGGCTCTCGCCTTTGTGAAAAACGCAGCAGCCGATGCGCTCGACAGGTGGCGCTGTTGCCGGGGATAACGACAAACTACCGTTGTCCCTAACGAAACGACACCCGGGTATTTTGTTTTGTAATGGATCAATTGATCTTATTCTGAATTTTAAAATTTAATTATTATATCATCATTGATTGATTTCTTATTATTTTATATTTATGGGTTGTATGTGGATTTTATTCTGAAAATTATTCTGGTTATTTTTGAACGATCCAGTTGAGTTTAAATTCTTAATATCTTGATATTAATTGAGTCGTATTCTGTTATTGTTTTGATATCAATGGACATTATCTTTAAATTCTGAGTTATTGTTACTGTTTTCATGTGTCATTTTTAAATGTATATTTTATCATGAATTTGAAAGTTTTTAATTCTTGCGAAAATTGTTATCGATTGGATCTATTTTGAAATGTTGTTAACCAAACGTTGGCTTCCTTTTGATGTTGTTTTGCAGATCTATTTAGTCATGCATCTGATGATGTACATTTCTATCGATCAGTTTTTCCGGACTCCCATTCATTTCGAGATTATCCGTTTTAGTGATGCATTTCTTTGATTGAAGGCATATGAACTACTGTTGAAAATTATTTAGCTTGAATCGTTATGAAATTTTATGTGAAAGCATTGGTTGTAAGTTGTATTGTTGTTCATGAATATTTTTGAAGTAGGTTTTGAAGGCGTTATCATGTCACGACAAATTTTTGATGGATTTGTGAGCTCTATAGGTGGTAGTGAGGCCCATGTCGGAGCTATGTTCCTCGTTCATAGTCGGATGTTGTCTTTTGTACCCTATGTGGTTTAAGGGAAGGAGGACTACACTATCACTGAAAGGGAAGAAAGTGTTGAGGTCTTACTAGAATGATGCTTGTAGGGTAGGCGACTATTGTTTGGCATGGGGGGAGGAGTGGCTACCTAACCTTGTGTCACGCATGGTCACCGTACCTCTATGGTCGGGGTCTAGCTAGCCTCGGTCATGTGAGGTGGGGTTGTTCTACTCTACATGCAGAGAACTAATGAGATCAAAGACACTGGAATCGGAGGGAATGTGGTGAGGCTCGAATCTGAGGCAGGGCTTGATGTCGAGATGTTATCCTTTATGGATTACACCACTCCTTGACGCATTCACAAGGGGTTCAGACGTAACGGGCATGATAATTTATGTGAATTGGAATAAGGATCATAACTTGGTCGGGGAACTTTGGACGAATGGTTTCTCTCATGAATGGTTGGTTCAGATTTTGTCTGGGCCGCCCAGGAGGTTAATTATTTTGAAAGGCCCGTCAGGGGGTTAAACCTGACTTTTTTTAGATAAATGGATGTGACAACCAATTGGGGTTTTGAAGGCTGGCTGGAAGCATTTCCGATACCATTCTGAGAGACAAGATGATGTTTTGAGTGGCCGCCAGTGGGATGATGTTGGGATCATTCTGAAAAAGTTCCTCTGAAATGAAGGCTTCAAAGGGCTATACCTGGGTCCAAGTTTTGATAAGGTTTGTCAGAGGCTATATTTGGTATCATTCCATCCACATATGATTTGTAATGATTTAAGGCTTATGGAGGCTAAATCCAATTTTTTTGTTGTGTTGTTGTAAACGTTCCGACTTAGTTCCGAACAATTGTTGGAATTGTTGTGTATTGTGATCATTGCTTTCACATGGAATCTTTATAAGGATCCTAATTTCTTTTGATGGTGAACGACGGGGACGTCGTTCAATGGGGTCCGGAAATGCTGTGGGGGCAAATACCCTGACAAGGGTATTTGCCCGGGTTTTTCAACGACGGACGTTGTCCGACTCTCTCGCTGAATTGAAGGACTTGATGAGACTGGCGTTTGTCAAAAGTTTATTCAGACCTGACCCATGACCGAGAAACAAAAAAAAATTAAACCCTA